TGGATATATTAGATGTCATGTTTTATTATCTTTATAGGTGTGGATATATTAGATAACACGTTTTACTATCTTTATTGGTGTGGATATATTAGATAACATGTTTTATTATCTTTATTGGTGTGGATATATTAGATAACATGTTTTATTATCTTTATTGGTGTGGATATATTAGATAACATGTTTTATTATCCACACCAATAAAGATATATTAGATAGCATGTTTTATTATCTTTGTTGGTATGGATATATTATATAACATGTTTTATTATTTTTATTGGTGTGGATATATTAGATATGTTTTATTATCTTTATTGGTGTAGATATATTAGATATCATGTTTTATTATCTTTATTGGTGTGGATATATCAGATATCATGTTTTATTATCTTTATTGGTGTAGATATATTAGATAACACGTTTTATTATTTTTATTGGTGTGGATATATTAGATATGTTTTATTATCTTTATTGGTGTGGATATATTAGATATGTTTTATTATCTTTATTGGTGTGGATATATTAGATATGTTTTATTATCTTTATTGGTGTGGATATATTAGATATGTTTTATTATCTTTATTGGTGTGGATAGATTAAATATAAATTACAAGAACGTCCAGTTGTACACAGACGTGAAATACAGAAACGCTTAGCTATGTACAGAGGCAAACTACAGACAGCCCAGCTATGCACAGAGGCGAATTATAGACAGCCCAGTTATGCACAAAGGCGAATTACAGACAGCTCAGTTATGCACAGAGGCGAAATTACAGACAGCTCAGTTCAAATTACCCCGCTATTATTAGAACTGTGTGAATGAAATTAAGGATAAGAATATAGTGGCCACATCGTATCTGCTGTATCCAGTGCCAATGATGCCTTACGGCCAATAGAAGGGTTCTTAGGCTGATTGAATATGACAGACATAGAAGTGATTGAAACGTTCTTTCTATTAACAAACTGATCGTTTGTTGGATTTCTTAAAACCTGTTAGAGGGTTACTTGAGCTAGCAGTCCATAATTTTGAAGTGATAAACTAGAGAAGGCAACTATTTAACACCATCAACCATTCGTCTACTCTTTTTACCAAAGAAGAGTGTGATTGATCGTCACATTATAATGCCCCCACGGCTAAAGGGACAAGCATGTTCGGTGACGGGATTCGAACTCGCGATCCAACGCTAACTCTTGGGCTATTCTTTACTAACGAATATTGGGACTGACCGTCATGTTATACCGTCTCCACGGCTAAAAGGACGAACATGTTCAGTGACAGGTTTCGATCCGTGACAAGCAAACAGACCAACATTGCAGTGTTGAGCATCAGTTGTAATGATATATATATATAATAGAAATATATAAGTTAGTATATATAAATATATATAAATTTGTTCAGCTGTTTCCCATCAGGCCAAAACTGTTTACAAGTATATAAATTTATACTTATTGTCATTACGCTATATAATATGTTAGGTGTGAATAAATGTTAGGTGTTTCCATTATTTTGTCCAACCTATATGTTAGGTGTGAATCTTCTTTTGATGAATATTAAACTGATGGAGTATATGGGAAGTGTCATAGGAACAAACATTATATGAAGTAATTATAGTATTTTGACATTTGTGTATAAAGTTAAAATCATAAATAATATTCAACGTTAAACTGGTACACAATTAAAAACATTTTATTTAGGCCTATCTATGGCCGTTGTAACGCCGAAACATGTAGAGTCGTCAACTTTTTGAAGGCCAAAGAAAGGCCTAAATAAAATGTTTTTAATTGTGTACCAGTTTAACGTTGTATATTATTTATGATTTTAACTTTATACACAAATGTCAAAATACTATAATTACTTCATATAATGTTTGTTCCTATGACACTTCCCATATACTCCATCAGTTTAA